CATTTAGTGCTATAAATGTCTCTCAGAACTGCTTTAGCAGCATCTCACAAATTTTGCTATCTCATTTTTATTAACTACAATGTATTTATTTTCCTTGGCATTCCCTCTGGCCCATGAATTATTTAGAAGTGAGTGACCAAATTTTTCATAATAAAATGTTCAGAAAATAAAAGCTTATAGGAAAGGACTTAACTGCTCCAACTATATTTGAATTTCCCTAAAGAAGTACTGATTGTCATTGATAGGTAATTGTTTTTAAATTTTAGAGAATTTTGGAGAATGAAGGAAATATTAGAAAACTAGAGATGGGTAAGTGCAGTTTTGATTTTGAGGAGGACGTTGGAAACTGAAAAATACTTATGGGTGGTTTGGACAGCTTTTGTAATCAAGAATCTAGAATGATTCATAGTTACCATAGACTTCAGATGAATAAACTCAGGTGTGCAAAAAAAGCTTCTGTAACAGCTCTTTTCAAAGCAGTTATGTGTTAAAACTGAGTAGAGAAACAAGATGGTAAATATAAAATTTATTCATGAGTAGCAGAAAACAATCCAAAGGTAAACATATTCTTTATCCAGCTAGTTTTAAAGGGATGGACAATGTGTTATCATGAAAAGCCTTATAACTTTCTCAGTTTGTAATACTAAATTTAACCAATACTAATTTAACCAAACTCTATCACTCTTCCCTTATAAATCTGGTGTAAGCAAATAGTTACTAAATTAACTTTTAGCTGTATTGTTTTTTAGGAAGAAGCAGAAAAGAAACTGAGAAAGCAAAAAGAGATGAAGCAAGATTTTGAAGAACAAATGGCCTTGAAGGAATTAGTACTACAGGCTGCAAAAGAGGAAGAGGAGAACTTTAGAAAAACTATGCTAGCTAAATTTGCTGAGGATGATCGGATAGAATTAATGAATGCTCAGAAACAAAGAATGAAGCAGCTGGAACACAGGAGAGCTGTGGAAAAACTTATTGAAGAGCGTCGCCAACAATTCCTTGCAGACAAAGTAAGAAAAAGTTGCGGGGTTTTTTTGGTCGTTATCATTAAACAGCAATTAGCTCATGTATCATCCACTAAACATTTACTGAGAAGCTTTATATGCCAGACAATGTTAGTATGTTTACTAATATATATATAAATTTTCTGACCATTTTTGCTTCTAGAAAATATTTATTGATGCTTTCTATGTGCTAAACACTGGTTGGTATTGAGAACATGAAAGGTAAATAAAACTAAGTCCATGTCACCCATGAATTTATGGTCTTGGTTAAGAAAAATATATAAAAAGTAATTATAAATATGTCACGTACATGTGATAATAGGTTACAGAGCTATGGATGTTTTGGTATGGCAGAGAGAGAAACAGATCATGAACACCCTGCATGCTATTTTAAGAAGGTGGGCTTTTCTAAGGGAAGCCACTGAAGATTGGAAAGCTGTATGTTAAGATCTGCACTTTGAAAGACAATTCAAGTGAGAGCATTGAAGGTAGATAAGAGATGAGTAAGCTTGGAGATAGGAAGATCAGTAAGTTATTATAATAATCCCAGTGACAACTGGTGAAACCCATGCAAATGGAGAGGGGATCCACCCAAGAGATATTAAGGATATGGAATTGATGGGGCTTGGTGACCAGTGAGATCTAGAGAGGTGAGAGAAGACTTAAGGATACTACTAATAAATAATACTGTCATTCCATCTTTTTAATTATTTTTGATTATTTTTATTTTAAGTTCCAGGATGCATGTGCAGAACATGCGGGTTTGTTACACAGGTGTATACGTGCCATGGTGGTTTGCTGCACCTGTCAACCTGTCATCTAGGTTTTAAGCCTTGCATGCATTAAGTATTTCTCCTAATGCTCTCCCTTCCCCTTATCCTCCCCTACCCCCCGACAGGCCCACAGTGTGATGTTCCTCTCCCTGTGTCCATGTATTACTACCGTCTTTAATGGGTGACTGGGTGATATCCTAAGGAAAGAGTATAGAGGAAAAGAAATAGATTTTGAGGGGGCAAATAATTCTATTTTGTCCACCCCAAATGATTTGGGTGGCCCAGGGGAAGATTACTAGTTGGAAATGCAGATTTAAGTGTTGGAGAGGGAATTAAGTTTTTGGCTTTGGACACATTGATTTATGTCTCATCCGTAAAACTAAATACTTATATTCTCTCACTGGATTTTTGTGGTTTAAGAACCAAATGGATAATATGTAGGTGTTTTGAAAACTGGTAGGAAGAGAAGAATTTACTTTTAAAAAGAAGACTCAGTGAGACTTACATGACTTCTTTTAAAACTATACAAAGTAGGAGTCAAAATAATGCAAATGTTTCAAATATGAGAAATTTATGGGAATACAAGTGCTGTTATATTTCAGATTGGAGCTCATCTGTTCTCAGAAGCTAAGCAGAATCAGGCCTGGTTAGTAATTTGGATAGGAGAAAGCTCCTGGAAAAATTAGCAAGACAACTAACTAGAAATCAGACTAAAAACTAAATGGAAATCAGATAAAGTCACCTAATGCATAGACACTTATACAAATAATTTATGTCTTAATTTTTAAAGACTTATAAATGTTCCCAATATGAAGCTGTCGGCTTAGTTTTGTCAGTTTGATTGGGCAGCATTTTTGTTCTGCCCCCAAGGCAAGGACAGATCTTCATGATGAAACTCATTAACACCATTATACAATCCTATAAGGTCTAACTATGTTTTCTGGATTTCAGAGATATTCCTAAATAGGTATCTATAATTCTGTCTACCTCTACAAAAATCATATGGTCAGACAAAATCCGAAACTTCCCAGGAGGTAGTTTCCTACCACCAAAGCTATTCAGAATTTGTCCTAAATGGATACGTTGATTTCATAACTACCTAAACTATTTAATTTACTGTAAATTTTTCTTTTTAGGATAAACATTGAATGTGGCCTACCAGATCCTTCTTAGGAAATCCTGCATTAGCCCAAATTAGACTCTACCATTGGACAAAAATCTATCAAGTTTGCTTTCCCCTGTAACATTACAGAACTTTCCTGTATCTCCTCTTTATAAGGAATGGATGAATTAAGATAGAATTAGGTTTGAATGCAAGTACAGTCTCAAATTAACAGTGGCTTAGTAGATTACTGTTCTTTCACGTAGTTCAAGTCATCTTTTCTATATGGCCCAGAATTTTGATGTGATTACGAGTATTCAAGAGCTCTTTCCTAAGAAATACTAGTGGAATTCTCATGCTTCATATCTTTTAAAATGTGTGTGTATATATATATATATAATATATATATTTTAAATATATATATTTTAAAAATATATATATTTTAAATATATATTTCATATCTTTTAGATATTTCTGATCTTCTTTATTCACTTTTTGTTTTACACTGAAAACTCTTCAGCATCTGGCATATAGTAAGCATTCAGTAAATATTTACTGTATCAGGCAGTCACTCCTTTGAATATTTTTTCCCTTGGTAATGAAGACACTTTCCTAAAAATATTTGTTTGCCTCCTTGTAATTTTAAAGGAATAATGATAGTAAAAAATGTGTACAGACTATAGATATATGTGCAGACATAAAATATATATTATCTAGAATCTTTTGAACTTAGTGTCATAAATAGTTCATCAATTTTATCTAATTCATTGCATGAGTAGTTTTATTTGAAAACTTCGTATAAGATTAATGTACTTTGTGATAACAAAATTTGATCTGCATTTCCAGCAACATGAACTAGAAGAGTGGCAGTTGCAGCAAAGGCGGCAAGGATTTATTAATGCAATCATTGAAGAAGAAAGGCTAAAACTTCTCAAAGAGCATGCTACAAACTTAGTAGGCTATCTCCCTAAAGTAAGTGAGATTTATCTCAAGTAGTAATCTTCATGACCTTTACTAATGAAAAAAACATGGTATTTGGATTTTAGAGTGCCTAGATTTTGCTCACTTCTTGCTCGGTTATGAAGCAGTGATGGGATCCTGTCCAGGCACTGAACCTCTCTGGGCCCATTTCAGTATATCTACAATGATTGGTCTTGGCACATTATTAGAGGTATGAGCTTGATTTACTGAATTTGTACTTTATTTATCACCCAGGCTGGAGTGCAGTGGCAGAATGTCAGCTTACTGCAATCTCCGCCTCCCAGGTTCAAGTGATTCTCCTGCTTCAGCCTCCTGAGTAGCTGGGATTACAGGCGTTTGCCACCACACCCAGCTAATTTTTGTATTTTTAGTAAAGACAGTGTTTCGCCATGTTGGCCAGGCTGGTCTTGAACTGTTGGCCTCAGGTGATCCATCTGCCTCGGCCTCCCAAAGTGCTGGGATTACAGGTGTGGGCCACCACACATCGCATGAGCCACCACACGTGGCATGAGTTTGTATTTTAGAGGTTCTTTTCTCCCCTTTTAGTGTATGAAATCTAAAGCTACCCTACAACAACTGTGGTACTTATACGCCAAAGCTGAGAATGTGTATGAAAACATTGTCATTGGTAACACCAGTAATAGGAACATGCTTGAACCGAGTTTGAGACAGATCTGCTCTATAGTAGGAAGTTGTAACTAGTTAAACTTGATTTTTAAAATTCCAGAAGATAGTGAATTTTAAACGTATACCTGAGACACACTGTGACTTCATATAAAATAATAACTGGCTGGGCATGGTGACGCATGCCTATAATCCCAGCACTTTGGGAGGCTGAGGCAGGAAGATCACTTGAGCCCAGGAGTTCAAGACCAGTCTGGGCAACATAGGGAGATCCCATTACTACACAAAATAAAAAGTTAACTGGATGTGGTGATGCACGCCTGTAGTCCTAGCTACTCTGGAGGCTGAGGTTGGAGGATTGCTTGAGCCTGGAAAGTTGAAGCTGCAGTGACCCATGATCTTGCCACTGCACTCCAGCCTGGGCAACAGAGTGAGACCCTGTCTTAAAAAAGTAGTAACAGTTTCATAGGACACATAAACATCTAGACTCATGTAAATAAGATCACCATCTTTCAGCTATAGAAATGCCGTTTCATATTTTATTCAGCAGAATCAAGTGCATATTTTACATTCAGTCTGGTGCTAAGGAAGGAAAAATATATAAAATATATAGGTAATTATTGCCTGGCCACAGGACTTTTGATAGTCTAATTGGTTACATAGGATTAAGGAATGCAAAATGATGTATTAATGATAAAATCCATATGTAATTAATAAATTTCATAAAATATAAACTATAGGAATGTCTTTGGGATGTGATATTTTTGTAGAGGAAATAATTGTGGAGGCAGCAGGAGGGATTAATAAACTTGATATCCAAAAATGATCTTTATCCTTTAGATCCTAATGGCGCCAAATGACCTCAGTTATCCTTAAAATTCTTTAGAACTGCAAGATAAGTAAATATTTAATTTTGTTTTAAAGAGCCCTTTGCAGTATACTGTAGGGGAAAAGAAAAATAGAACAGTGAAGAATTCCAGAGGGTTTGCTTAAATGGCTTAGCTCCAAACCTGGATTCTTTTCTGCAAGACTGATTGATTGCTGATTAGCCATAGAACTGACACATGAAGAACTAATCCCATGCATGAATCTATCGAAGCTCACCCTTATATCATATTATAGAGCTATTTAAAGAAAAGGGTAGGGTACACTATAGATGAAGTGCCTTCCTATCTAGGTAATCCAAGCAGTAGAACTTGTAGAAGAGCTCAGATTCATATGACAAGCTCCTACACTAGAGCTGATAAATCAGAAAATTGGGTCAGTCTAGGAATAGTCAATATATATGTAAAGTCTTATTTTTTTGAAAAGTGTTGATTTTTTTTTAAAGTTTCATTAATCTATTGAATAGATTTCATTACCTTGGCGATAACTTTACTAACCTCATGTCTTTGTCAGTCTTAAAAGCATTTAGTGAAATATTCTGATATTCAAAAGTAACCCACAAAATATTTTTCTTGTAGGGAGTATTTAAAAAAGAGGATGATATTGATCTGCTTGGTGAAGAGTTTAGGAAAGTGTATCAGCAAAGGAGTGAAATTTGTGAAGAGAAATGATATCATCAAAATTGGGTAAACCCTAGATTTTTCGTATATTACCACTAGATGTCAGCATAACTTTTGTTTTACAGTTCAGTGGCAGTAGGAATCCATTGTCTATTTGGATTTTGTAAGTCATCACTGAATTTATAACTTGTAAACAATTATCAGATAAAAATTAATTTTAATCAAACTGTTATTTTTTGTACTGATAATTTGAAAATCCGATTTCTACCACACTACAGAGCATTGTTTGCATCCCCATCCTCAAGACAGTATATGTACCTTGACTAATACAGAACTCTACCCCAAAGTGAACTAACTGCCTTCTCTCTGTGTTTAGGAACTGTACTTACTCGATTTAGCCAGGGAAATAAATATTTGGAATTTTCTTTTAAAGCATCTTTTTCGGTCTACTTTAAGGGAGGAGAACTGTAAATGAAAAGAGTCAAGAATTTTATTATCTAATGTGCTTAATTGTCACGTTCAGTAAGAACAAACTCAAAAATAGCTAATAAGTCATAAGATAGCAGAATCAAAAGTTAAATTGTTGCTTTATTTTACAAAATATTTTTTTCTAATAACTACATATCAGAATAATGCATCAGTTTTATATCTCCCAAATCTAAAAAGGGAATTCTTTGAAATTATTTTGATTTCATAATCAAATATATTACTTATGAAGAGTAAAAATAATTCAAACCATTACACTAAGTAAAATGGGTATCCACCACATACATAGAGACTAACTGAAGTAGATCACTTATGAATTTCCCCATTCAAGTGCTTTCATAAATTCCTCCTCAGTGAAAGACAGCATCTTGGCAGCTTCAATATGCATCTGTTAAAAAGAAAATCAGTATTGTCTGATTTAGTATTAAGAGCAGGCCACCAAACAACAGGAAGTTTATAAAAATGTGTGGATAATATATTGTCAGAATGTAAGTTCTGTTGTAGGAATGTATACTGTTAATTCCAATAAGCAAGATATTTGAAATGGTAGTAATTACATTCAAGGACCAACCTATAGAATACTTTTTGTCTAACAGTAGTATTGAACCAACTTATTTTTAAGATAATAATTCTATAATATTGTAATAACTGACCTTTGCAAAGAAGCAAAGTGTCAGAACTATGAATTTTTAGATAAAGCAGCAATAGTGGTTTGGAAGCAATGTTCACTCTAAGGTTTGAAGAGGCAAACAGTTCCCTAATAGTCATTCTTTAATGTGGTACTTTCTGTAGTTGAGACATACCTGTACTGTATTTTCCAGTCCCATTTTCTACACTAATTTACTTTTGTGAAAATATCCACTTGCTTAGATGACACATACATAAATCTCACTATATATGTTAGATTTCATATGAATAATGCATTTTATATGAAATTCAGTGCCTAAAGATGTCAAAAATTAAACATACCTAAAGTGAAAAATGCTGAATTGTTTAGTAAGAAAGGTACAAATACTATGATTTAACTTTAACGACAGACTCACCTTTTGCCTTTTTAAAACATCAATTAATTTTAACTGTTTCTTGAACCCTATCATTAATTCTCCTTTTTGTTTTTCTAGCTTCTTGTTTTCTGATTTTAACACTTCAATTTTTTTATGTTCTTCATTTGCTATGTCCTACAAAAGGAAAAAAAAGTGCCATATATTTTTTAATATACAGCCTTTCAATGGACAGAATTATAGACTATCATCACAACAGTAATAAAAAAGTACTTTTTAAAACTGAAATATAAATTTTTTTGTAGATAAAAATTGCTTTCCATTACCAAATTACTGGAATTTGATAGCTTTTAGTCGTGCTCAGGTACTTCCCATTTTTAAAAAAGTTTTAAAAATAACTCAGTTCTAATTCCAGTAACAGCAAAGTAGCTTGTATTGAACCAACATAAACTCTGGATTTGTGAATTTTAAAAAATATATCTGAAGGCACAGATGAATAATCAATAATAAGTAGAAACTGGAAGTGGTATGATCTTTGAAAGAGCAGAAATACTGGTTGAGATCCACATTCAACTAGCTTCTCCTGAAAGCGCTTTCCAGTTCGTGGGTTCACAGAGATAAGAAGTCAAGCAAAAAGTAGTAGTCTAGTCTTATTGGACTGAGGAGTCAGAGAGCAGGGCTTCCAAGGTGGTACAAATTTTTAAGTAGGAAATTCTAGAAAAAAGAGAGCCCTCAAAACATGCATACGTATTTCCCTCAAATGCTTGGCAGACATCTAAATACCATTTACAGGGTAAGACACCTAGGTACCTATGAAAGGAAACGGCTGTAGTCTTTAGCTAAGCAGAGAATTTACCCACTTCCCATGACAAGGGGGAGACCAAGTTTGTAATCTTGGTAAAAATAGACTGGATAAGGTCTTTAGCAATTTGAGCAAAGCAGAAAAAGGGTCAGTAGAAATCATTAAGTATAGGAAGATCTATACTTGAAATGTTAGAGGAAGTAATTAATACAAAAGGAAAATGATACTAGAAGGAAATCTGAATCTCTGTACACACACATAAAAAAGATGGAGAAAAAAATAGAAATAGTAATGTGAAATCTATCTATAGATGTGTGTGTGTGTGTGTGTGTATATATATACCTTTTCTTTTCAAAAAAGAAAAAAAAAAAAAAACGCCTCTTTAAAAGATACAGTGTTAGCAAAATGGTGGATTAGGAAGCTCCAGGCCTTTGCTCCCCCCATTAAAAGACTGAATATATGATACACAGACCAAAGTAGCTTTGGGAGAGCTCTAGAAACCAGTCAGTCAGCAGAAGCAACCAAGAGAATGCCTAACTAAGAAAAGGCCATACTCAAAATAGTAGGAAGTGTCATGGTGTTTTTCTTACCCTTTCCCCACATACTCCCTCGCACAGCACAGTCAGGAAGAAGCCACCCAATTCCCAGTTCCCTCCCTTGGAATGGAAGGAAAAGAGTAGACTTGCTTGCAACATTCTGGTTTTTCTGGGGCCTGCCTGAGGGACTGGTATCTGTCTTGCCTGACTCAGTACTGATGGGAACAGCTGCGTCATTTGGATATCAGGTTGGAAGCTGCAGAAACAGGTGGTTGGTACCACTGAATGGGAGGTGCAGTGAGTCCACAGAACTGCAGGAACCTGATGGCAAAAAATTATGGGCAGAGGAATACAATAATACAGCATCTAAATCTGTGAGAAGTAGTGAGACTTTTAGGTAATTAGGACATTTAAAAGAAGCCATGTGTATGGAAAATTGGAATTAAAACACACAGGCCCAGGAAAGACACATCCCCAGAAAAGGTTTGAGAGAACCTCAAGACTTTACACCACGCTGATTAGTGAAGGTCTTTGCTTGCATGCAGCCAGTCTGCAAGACTGAGAGAACTGTTTTTTCAAACATCCATTTTTCCACGTTAAGATCACAAGACATCCAAAGAAACAGGGAAACATGGACCATATTAAAGGAAAAAAATTAATATCCAGAAATTTATCCTAAAGAAACAAAGGCTTCTCACTTACTAGACAAGGACTTTAAAATAACTGCCATAAATATGCTCCATGAGCTGAAGGAGAATATTAACAACTAAATGAAATCAGGATACCTATATATTAATAAAATGAGACTATTAACAAAAATTACAAAAAAGAACAAAACAAATTCTAAAGCTGCAAAATGCAGTAACTGAATTGAAAAATTCACTTGAAGGTTTCCAGCAGAACAGGTCTTATACCTGCTGAACAGGTATAAGAAAGAATGAGCGAGCTTTCAGACAGGTCATTTGAAATGAGCAGGTCAGAGAAGCCAAAAGTAAAAGAATGAAGAAGAAAAGTGAACAGCAGCTAAGGGACACCTTCAAGTGGACCAACATGTATATTAGTGTAATCTTAGGAGAGAGAGAAAAGGAGACAAATAACTTATTGGAAGAAGTAATAGCTGAAAAATTGCCAAATTTAAGGAAAAATGGATATACAAATATAAAAAGCTCCATGAACTCCAAGTAGGATAAACCCAAAGAGACCCACAGCAAGACACATTTTAATTAGTCTAGTGTCAAAGAGAAAATCTTGATAGCAACAAGACAAAATGGCTCATCACATGCAAGGGAGCATCTGTAAGATTATCAACAGATTTTTCAGCAGAAACGTTGCAGGCCAGAAGTCAGTAGGATGATATACTTAAAGTGCTGAAAGAAAAAACACCTAGAAGAATACTATATCCAGCAAAGTATCCTTCAAAAATGAAAAAGAAATAAAGACATTCCTAGATAAAAGCTGAGGAAATTCATTACCACTATATCTTCCCTACAAAATCCTAAAGAAAATCCTTCAAGTTGAAACAGAAGGATACTAGACAATAACGCAAAGCTACATGCAAATATGAAATTCTCCAGTAAATGTAAATATTTGGACAAATATAAAGGCCTGTATTATTTTAATTTTGGTTGACAACTCACTTTTCATTCTTTCATAGAATTTAAAAGACAAAAGCATAAAAAATACTATAAATCTTTGTTAATGGGTACATAACCTAAAGATCTAATTTGTGACACCCAGTAAAACAAGGTAGGACAGGGGCTGAAAAGCAGTAGAGTCTTTATATACGATTGAAGTTGCATCATTACACAAAATGAACACTAAGGAAGGCAATAAGGGAGGAAATGAGAGGCTAAAAGTCCTCAAGACATACAGAAAACTGTAAACAAATAGCAACAGGCCTCCCAATAACTTTACATGTAAATGGACAAAACTCCCTAACCAAAATAAATTGAATAGAAGAATGGATTTTTAAAAACTAAATTCCAACTTTATGCTGTCTACATGCAACTAACTTTAGATCCAGAGATAATGCACAGATTGAAGGTAAAAGGATAGAAAAAGATAATCTGAAATTGTGTAACCAAAAGAAAACAGGAGTGACTACAGTAATATCTGACAAAATAGACTTTAAGTCAAAACTGTTAAAACATACCAAGAAGGACATTATATAAGAACATATGAGCCAAACAAAAGGGCCAGTTCAGCAAGAAGATACAATTATATATGTACCAAACATTAAAGTGCCCAAATATATGAAGCATTGACAGACTTGGAGAAAAGACCACTCTACAATAAAAGTAGACTTCAATACCCCACTTCCCATAATCGATAGAACCACTGGATAGAAGACCAATAAAGAAATAAGGGACTTGAACAACATTATAGACCAATTAGATTTAAGAGACATAAAAAACAATTCTCTAACACAAAGGCAGAAGAAGGATATAATGGACTCTAGGGACTTATGGGTGAAGGGTGAGAGGGATAAAAGATTAACTGAGTTCAGAATACAATGCTCGGGTGATGGGTGTACCAAAATCTCAGAAATCACCACTAAAGAACTTATCTGTGTAAGCAACACCACCTGATCCCCCAAAAAGACTGAAATAATAAAGAAAAAATAGAATCATATGCCACAACAGACAAATATGGAGAGACAGGAAGTAGATTAGTGGTTGCCTAGGGCTAGAATGTGGTGCAGGGTGTTGGGGGAATATAGAATGGCTGTGAATGGGTACAGAGGTTCTTTTTGGGGTGATAAAATTGCAAAATTCATTGTGGTGATGGTTGCACAACTTTGTGACTACAAAAAACAACTTATTTATATATTTTAAGTGGGCTGTATGGTATATGAATTATATCTCAACAAAGATGTTAATGAAAATAAATGAGGAGAATACAGTTTTCTCAAGTGCACATGGAACATTCCCCACATTTTATAAGACTGAAATCATACAAATTATATTTTCCAGTCACAGTTGATTCAAACTAGAAATCAATAGCGGACGGAAAACTGGAAAATCCACAATTATGTGGGGATTGAACAAAATACTCAAACTACCAAGGGCTCAAATAAGAAATCACAATGGAAATTGGAAAATAATCATGAGACAAATTAAAACAAAGCTACAATATGCCAAAACTACAGGACAGAGTATGAACACTGCTAAGAGGGAAATCTGTAGTTGTAAATGTTTACATTAGGAAATGGAACAGAACAGAGCCCTCAGAAATAATACCACACATCTACAGCCATCTGATCTTTGACAAACCTGACAAAAACAAGAAATGGAGAAAGGATTCCCTATTTAATAAATGGTGCTGGGAAAATTGGCTAGCCATAAGTAGAAAGCTGAAACTGGATCCTTTCCTTACTCCTTATACAAAAATTAATTCACGATGAATTAGAGACTTAAATGTTAGACCTAAAACCATAAAACCCTAGAAGAAAACCTAGGTAATACTATTCAGGACTTAGGCATAGGCAAGGACTTCATGGCTAAAACACCAAAAGCAACGGCAACAAAAGCCAAAATTGACAAATGGGATCCGATTAAACTAAAGAGCTTCTGCACAGCAAACGAAACTACCATCAGAGTGAACAGGCAACCTACAGAATGGGAGAAAATTTTTGCAATCTACTCATCTGACAAAGGGCTAATATCCAGAACCTACAAAGAACTCAAACAAATTTACAAGAAAAAAACAAACAACCCCATCAAAAAGTGGGCAAAGGATATGAACAGGCATTTCTCAAAAGAAGATATTCATACAGCCAACAGACACATGAAAAAATGCTCATCATCACTAGCCATCAGAGAAATGCAAATCAAAACCAC